CTCTTCACTGGGAAGCTCCCCCGTGAGGTTTTCCACGCACATCTGGAGACTTTCCACAATGGGCCTTTGAAGCGGCCCGAAGCGTTCCGGGAAGTCAGCCTCACTGGGCTGAAGTTTAAAGAGCAGAAGCCCACATTTATTTTTCTTTCCCGCCTTCTTTGACAAAACTCCCCCCAGTGGTTTGTGGGCATTTGAAAAGCAGCCCTGAATTTCAGCTCATGACTTCTAGGGCTGCAGTCTTAAAGAGAAACAACAATGAAGCAAACTCAAAGGCAGCACTGGTACCATAAAGATCTGTTTATGGGTTTGGCTTCTCCGCCAGACTCTGAGTCGCGCTTTAGTCATCTTTTTGCAGAAAGAAAAAGGGCTTTGGACTCGAACAGCATTGTTCCATCAGTCAGCATCAGTGACATTTTGTCAAGTCACTTAAACTTTCAGATCTTTGAAATGAGTCCCCAGTGCCTGCCTTGTGTGGAGCATTAAACACGAGGTGGGTGAGGAAATCACGCTGCACGTCATCCAACATGGACCTTACAGGGCTACGCTGTCCCCTTTGCCAAAATCATCCTCTCCCTATAGGCCAGCAGCTACTCATCCTCTACAACTCCGCTCAGTGACGATTCCCTTCTCTGGCAATGCCTGATCTCCCTCCTGCGCGGGCTAGTTTAGGTGCATGTCTTCTATGCTTCGACACCCCCATGCTCTAATCCACAGTTCATTGTTACTTCCATTTAAAGCCTGTGTCCACCATGCCCTCTCCCACAACGGTAATAACTATAGACACACGATTCTTTCAGTTTCACTTACTCTCCATACCAAGGGCAATGCCTAGTATATCAATGTGCTCGGTGATTATCAACTGATTAATTTGACAAATACTTATTAAGCACCCACTCCAAGTCAAACACTATTTTAGTTGCTTAAGATGTAGCAGTAAATAAAATAGACAAAGCCCTGCTTTCATAAGTTTACATCCTTGCAAGAAAATCTGGGAATACATTAAGGAATTCATACAGAGACTTCCAGTTACAGCTCCAACATGTAAAGAGTTTAAAAGTCATTACTCCCATTCTTGCAACAAGAAAACCACCAACTAACTAAAAACCACTGATCTTTTCCTGGATTTTCTGAGGAACTGAGGTTACAGGGAAACCACTGCCCTGAGACCTGGAGAGACAACAGCATCCATACCATCTGGCTGAGATCGCCTCACCTAGAGCGGAAGCCACTTAAGTGGCAATTCTGCTAAGTGCCGGGGGCTTGATGTGGGCTAGCACTGTAGGAGACTGAGACACCTCTGCGGCCACAGTCTTCATTGGGGGGCTCACACTTTCATGAGTGGTACTTCCAGCGACCTTACCAGGTTCTCACTGTGAAGAGGCAAGAATCATACCCTTTTTGCTCTAGTGAGGTGGTGGGGGGCAGTGAACATTGTGAGACATGCCAGAGGGTTTTCTGTAACAAAGGCCTGACCTTAAGGGGAAAAGATGTTACCAGAGCCTAACCTCACCCGGGGAGAGGACATCTCTCCCACTCCAGCCCCCTCTAGCCTTCATGTTTCACCACAGAGGGAAGGAAATGGGTAAGAAACTTTCCTGAAGGTCACAGGCACACTAACAGCTAAGATTTAATCAAAAGATTATAGAGTGCTTTGCATTTTCCACACCTTAAAACCACACTAACAGGGCTTCAGTATAGTAATAGTGGATTGCAGGTGAAAGAGACTCTTTCTGCAGATGAGTTCCTAAGGAAGCCCAGAGACAGATGAGCAATTTAAGCCTAGAGCAAGTAGAAGAAAGCAAGAAAAAGGAGACACAACAAGAAGAAAAGGAATAATAGAAAATAGAAATCGATGAAATTGAACACAGGAAAACAATAGAGAAAATCTATGAAACCAAAAGTGGTTCTTTGAAAAGGTCAATACAATTGACAACCCTTTAGCCGGGCTAACCAAGATAAAAGGAGAGAAGACACATATTACTAATATCGGAAATCAGAGAGGGGTCATCATTACTTATTTCATGGGCAACAATTCTATATGCAATTCTATGCCCACACACTTGATAACTTAGATAAAATGAATTATTTCTTTAAAAGATGCAAATCACCATAATTCACATTAAGGAGAAGCAGATCATCTGAATAGAGCTTTATCTAGTATGGAAATTGAATCAATAATTAATAACCTTCCAAAAAGACACAGCGCCAGGCCCAGATGGTTTTAGTAAATTCTACAAAACATTTAAGAAATTACACCAACTTACTATTTTCTCTAGAAACACATAAGTAGGGATGTCCTAACTCACTGTGAAGCTAGTATTCTCTAATACCTAAACCAGATAAAGACACTATAAAAAAGGGAATCTAAAAACAAATATATCTCATGAATATCAATGCAAAATCCTCAATATTAAATTACTAAATCAAATCAAATCCAACATGCATTTCACTAAAGAAGATATAGAGAAGGCAAATAGCATACAACAAGATGCTAAACATCATTTGCCATTAGAAACTGCAAATTAAAACAACAATGAGATACCATTACACACCAATTAGAACAGCTGAGATCCAAAAAAACTGACGATACCAAATGCTGTTGAGGATGTGAAGCAAAAGAAACTCTCCTTCTGGTGGCAATGCAAAATAGTACAGCCACTTAGGAGAGAGCTTGGCAATTTATAACAAACTTAAACAGAGTTTTACCATACGACTCAACAACTGTGTTCCTGGGTGTTTAACCAACTCGTATGAAGACTTATGTCTACACAAAAACCTGCATGTAAATGTTTATGCATAATCACCAAAAACTGATGATTACATACATAAATATTTATAGATATGTGTATATGTACAGGTTAGTATACACACATATATTTGTTTGCACTGTTGGCTGGGAGGGCCTCGAAGCCGTAACAGCTCAGTAGCAATAAGAACACTTAGTGTCCAGATCTTGGTTTCTAATACCATTCTCCAATAAAAAGAATCAGGGCTCTTGGAAGAGTGGTTGATTCAAGAACTGGGGCAGGAAATATATAAGATGAGCCTGAAACATCTTGTAGTGCTAGGAAGTAATTTAAAAAAAACCCACAAAATTATGGGGTTATGTCAGAGAGAGAAAGGAATCGTCTGAGGAGCTCCCAATGGCCAAAACTGCAACAAACAAGCAACAGAATATATTATTGGATTATAACCTAAAATACAACATAAACATCTATGAGACTACACTGATACAAGGAAATGATTGATTGAATGGATAAATAAATAAATAAATAAATAAATGATTAAAAAAATGAATATCCCATGGGGAAGAATTCCAAGTTGATTTAGATACTCTGTCCCCAAGGAAGTGAAGCGTAACCCCCATTTCTTGTATGTGGGCTGCAGGTGGTATGGGAAGTAGGAAAACACAGCGTAATGTTACAATGAGAAACTTAACACTACTTCAGCCAGGTGATCAAGGTCAACATCAACAGTGATAAGTTATGTTGATAATGTACATTTGCTAACCTGTGATGAGAATGGTACTTTATCTCTGTGGTCTTGTTCCCCAAAAACTTTAACTCCAGTCTAATCATGAGAAAAACAACAGAAAAAATGCCAATTGAGGAATGTTCTACAAAATCTCTAACCTGTGCTCCTCAAAGCTATCAAGGTCATTAAGAGCCAGAGGAGCCGAAAGAGACACAATGACCAAATCTAATCTAATATCCTGGATGGGATCCTGGAGCACATGAAGGACACTAAGTAAAAACTAAAGATGTCTGAATAAAATATGGACTTCAGTTAATAATAATGCATCGATATTGGCTCACCAATGATAACAAATGTACCACACTAATGTAAGATAATAATAAGGAAAACTGGGTATGGGGTTTATGAAAACTATTTGTATATCTTCACAAATTTTCTATTAAAAATGCCATTCTAAAAATAAAGTTTATTTAAATAACATAAGTGCAGGTACATATACACAAATACACATACGTCAGGTGGTGATAACTACTAGGGAAAAAAATCAAGTAGGGTAAAGGGGATGAAGAATGATAGGAATGGAGCAGGCAGTGTGTACAGGGTGGCCAGGGATGGCACTTCTCTGACGAAATGACATTTGAGCAGAGCTCTAACGGGAATGAGGGTGTGAGCCATGTAAGTACTGTATTTAGGGGAAGAGGATCCCATGCAGAGGGAACTGTAGGTGTGGAAGCCCTGAGGTGGGAGCGTCTTTAGCACGTGGAAAGGGAGAGAAGAGGCCAGGGTGGACAGAGCGGCCTGAGCGAGGGGCAGAAGAGCTGGAAATGAAGTCAAAAAGGGAGGGGGCCCCAGGCCAGGCCAGCCTTGTTGGCCATAGTTAGGATAAATAAGTAAATCAATCAATGAGATGAATGGAAACTCTTCATCTTGAAATTTATTCTAGGTACTGCAGCCTTTTAAAAAATTTAAATGAAATACATAAAACACCATCCTCCCCCAAACACATACAAATATTCTATCGTACTAACACCAAAATCTCAGCCTGCAGTTGTTCCAGTGAGACCTGCTAGTCCCCTAGAAGCAGTCCAGGACATGTCATCTCCTTTCCGAAACAAAATCCGAGACTGTTTCTAGATGGGCAAAGTGAAACGAAGGCTTGAGGCCAATTTTTCACATAATTTAATTTTAGAAAAAAGACTTTCATATGCCTGAAATCTTTAGATAATGGAAAGAAAAGTGGATTTTCCTCTCTTCGTTATTAAAGTAATCGACTCAAACTCTCATTTCATTTTGTACATGTAGGCATAACCCAGAGTCTGTAATTAGTTTCAAACCACCAAAGTAGAAACAGAATTAAAACCTCAAGTAACTGAAGGACCTTTCTTTCCTGGACATATTTGGCTTTCAATGCCTGGAGGCAGAAGGCACAAATCCAAAAAGCAAACTCATGACAAGGACCTGTTTCAAAAACAAAACAAAACAACTTGCAAAGCATGCCTGGGGTGAGTCCTGTGTAAGTGCCTTACCTGCCACCTTCTCCATCTGTTTCCATTTCTACATAATGAAAGGATGATGCTGAACTCCCCAGTCATCCGAGGACAGCCCACCAGTCTCATCAACTGCACGTAAGAGAGACACAAGAACGCTCCCCTCTTCCAGAGATGTGGACCAACGAGGATGAAATCGGCAACCCTTTTTGATGAACTTCCCTTTAAGCAGAAAGGTACTTAAACAAAAGCATGCTATTGAGTGAGTATGGGAGTAAAACACAGAACTCTGAGGAGTGGGGACTTAATCTCAGAATATCTTGGTTTACTTCGGGGTGGTTGGTGCCACACTCCATCTCTGGCCACGTTGTTGAGGAGTTAACCTCTCTGAATCTCAGTTTCTTCATCTGTAAAATGACCTTGGTAATGCCTGTCTGCAAAGCCCTTGTCAATATTAAATGCAATAATGTCCCTAAAATGCCTAAAACTGTGTCTGACCTATAATAAAATGTTAACATTAATTGCTTTTTTTAATAAACATATATCCTATATTTGTGCCCAACATGGATCTGGCAAATAGTAGCTTCTTGATAAACCTGTTGAATAACTGTCTGAATGAAGTATCTCCAGGGAGTTTCGAGTGATACTTTATGTAATGATACTTGACATAAGGCTGATGATAACCGCCATTTACTGAGCACCTACAGATGGTCAGGTGCTGTGATCAGTGCTTACCTACAGCATTTCGCTGAGTTTTCACAACTATCTGATAAGGTTGGCTTTCTTTTAGCTCCTCTTTGCAAGCCAAGAACTGAGACTAAGCCATTTTCCTCAGATGACACAGCTGACAAGGGGCAGAACTAGACTCTAAGCCTATGTCCTTCTGATTTCAGAAACCATGCCCTTACCTGCTATAGCATCCCGCGCAGTATTTCAGAGCACTTTTTAAAAGGCACTTTTAACTTTTTTCATTAAGAAAGACCTAACTAGGGTGAAGAAGTCTCCTTGCTGTTCCCTAGAATAGCCTTATCTGGTTGGATTGGCAGCTGTCAGGGTCAGGTGGAGCTGGTACATTTGCCAGAGACCAGCCCTTGAAAAGGTGGCTGAACAAGCTGTCCAGTGCTGTTCTCAGAAGCCGGTACAAATCTGGTGGGGATGCCACTCATGTGCGCTGGCGGTAGGGGAGGCCCCTGGGTGCTGAGCTGGAGTGTTACCTCGAATAAAAAAGGTAAAGGTGCCCCAAGGGGAAAAGCAAATTATTCAGAGAAGGGGAGCTGGAGGAGTGGTTCTGGAGCAGGAAGATAGAACCAAGGGCACTGAGAGGAGCCAGGAGGCCAGGCTGAGGGTGTGAAGGTTGGGGAGCAAGCAGGCAAAGGTTCCAGACAGGCCTTGGGCAGTACCAAGGAGACTGTGGCAAGAAGCCTTCTCATTGGGAGGTCCCTGACCCCAGGGTGTTATGATGGGAGTGTCAAAGTACATGAAAGAGGTGGAGTGAAGTAACTTTAACCCCAGAATGCTGTTCTGGGTAAACTTACCTTAGAGGAAGTGTCACAGTGACTAAGAGTATAGACTCAGAACCAAACTGCCTGGGTTCAAAGCTTAATTTCACTATTCCCCAGCTGTGTGATCCATAGCAATGTTACTTAACCTCTCTGTGCCTCAGTCTCCTTACCTATACAAAGGGGATAAAAATGTACCCTATATCATGAGGTTTCTATGAAGATTAAGAAATCTTGTATAGATTGTATAGAAAATGAGATGATGTATAGAAAATGGCTAGAAGAGAATATGGAAAGTGCTGGCACACAGAAGATTTACATGTTATCTGTAATTATTATTACCGCTTCCCAGAGCTAATCGGAAGACACCGTGAGATGCTGTATTACTGAACCAGTATATCGTCCTTCCATTTCCCCTCCTTCTTCACACAGCACATTTTTAGTGGTGGAACCATGACCTGAACCTAAATCTTCAGACTCCAAGTCCTATGTCACTCAGGAATGGCTGTCTCGTAGCAAGGTCTAAAACGGTGCTGGTCACAGCCCTTTGACTCCACACACATGCCCATCTCTTTCTGCCATGTCCTCTTCAGTCGCCCCTAACCCAAGGTCACCTCACAAGTGCATATCACACTTCCAGGTTCCCACTACCTCCTCCTTCCTGTCCCTTCCAGCTCCCATCCAGCCTGCCTCCTGTTCACAGAACAGTTTCTTTCCTCATGGCATCCTCTGCTCAAAAGCATTCCATAGTTCCCCATTGCTGGTGGTGGGAGGGATCAGACTGGTCCAGGTGGTGTAGAACTCTAATTTCTTGTGCTGCCTATCTGAGTCCATGAATAATTGATAATAGATAACAGCATAAGAACAAGCAGGAACAATTTTACAGGAAGGACTTGAATTCTATTATACGGGCACACTATAAAATCCTAACCACAAGCACATATGTTCGCAGAAGAAAGTAACAAACACAAAAGCCCTACACCGTTGAAGTAAGCATGTGAAATATTCCTAACTTTTCCATTAATATTTGATGGCTGTAATCTGAGCTTCATTGTTCATGTGCATCATGGAACAGTTGGCAGGGTTAAAGGAGAGGATGTATACACAGGGCATAGGTCAGCAATGCTGCACGCAAGTGTTACCGCATTACTATTCTACACCCCAGACCCCTCTCTGTGGCCTTCCAAGTCCTGCGGCATATGTCCCCACTCCATACCCATTCTGACTGCCACAGTCGCCTGGGCTTTGCTGGCCGGTCCCTTTGAGACATTTTCAGTCCTGTCTTCTCTCTGTGGTCCCTTTCCTCACTTCATGATGCCCAAATCTGAGCTTCTTCTTCCTAAACCCTGTCCCAAGTTCAAAGCCCACCTTACACAGAACCATCTCTAGGAAACTGTCCACATACCCCACACTCCCAGCCCATTCTCTTGTCTGAATTCACATCCCCTTTCGATCTGTTCCAAACAGCTTTGAGATTGTTGTTCCAGTATTTTGGCTCACTCTCCCAATTAGATTGTAATCCTTGAGCAACCGCTGAGATGCTTTTCTTTAATGTTGGTTTTAAGCTGAAACAAATGTTCCCAAAGTCCTCAGCCACATTTCCTCTGAGGGGTCCCAAATGGAGAGTCCTAGGAGCTCAGGGGTCAGGCATGGTATTTCATCTTTTAGATGAAGATAGTGGTACCAACTTCATAGAACTGTAGGATGGATTGAGATAATAGCTACAAAACTTCCCAGGAGTCTGCTGGATGGAAAATATAATCTGACAGAAGAGAAGGAGAAGGCAGTTGGAACTGATAGGCTCCTGGGAATGGAGACAAAAAGGGAGCACCTTGAGGGAATGCGAAGGACTGCTCATCAAACAGGCCTGGCAAGCACCTCCTATACATCAGGCACTGTGCTCGGCACTTTCTATGTATTCTACACAGGCTACTGGTGAACAGCACTTGTTTTGGAGTCAGGCTATTGGGCTCTAATCCTAGTTCTACCTGCTACCAGCTGTGTGACCTCAGTTAAGTCACTTAAAATGCCCATGACTTATCTTCATCTTTACACTGGGATTATTTAAAGCAGGAGTTGGCATCTTTTTTTCTGTAAAGGGCCACAGAGTAAATATTTTAGGGTTTGTGGGACACACAGTGTCTGTTACAACTCAACCCTGCAGCCACAGAGTAGCCACCTAGTGAGCCTATGTGAATAAATGGTTGTGACTGTATTCCAAGAAGGTATTATTTGCAAAAATGGGTAGTGGGCAAGAACTGGCCCACAGGGAGTAGTTTGCCAACCTCTAATACAGCATCCAGCACACAGGGGCCAAAGAGGATTAAGTTCACGCTCTTAGAACAGTGCCCTGCGCAGAGTGATCACTCAGCCAATGTTAGCTGCTGTTATTATAATAAACCCATAGAATAGCTGTTAGAATGCCTTTTAATTGGGAACAAAACTCATGCTCAGAAATAAAGAAGTAACTTCTCCAAGATTTGACATCTTCTAACAGCAGTAAGGTCTAACTCAGCACGTGGACTTGTCAGACTCTAAAGTCTGTTGTTTTTCTACTGCAATTTTTGTCAACTTCAAAGAGCTCATCAGAACTAAGGCCTGACTTCACAGACCCAAAGGGAACCTTGCTCTAGTTTTCTGTCCCCAGGTGTGTTGGGACTAAAACACTGGCGACACACCAAGGGATGCAACCAGGCCTGGGACCCAAACAAGCCTTGCAGGAAAGCCCCGCCTTATTTCCTCTGACTCCTGACCCCGGCCATCAGGGACCAGGTGCGGAGTCCACGGCCGCAGCCTCTCGGTGCTCACACAGTCTCAGCCTTCCCTGGCCTCGGCAGCGGTTTCCTATGACACCGATGATCAGCCGCCTCGGGGGAGCCCGAATTAAGTTCACGAATAGGGCAGCCTTCCCAAATCCCACATTAGTTCTGCGTTGGAATGCCAGAACTTTTCTACCACGGAAAAATGCTTCATGCCCTGACTCTTAACAAGCCCAGCAAATTCAGATGCATTTCGGGGGGGAAGGGACATGAATTCCAAGCTGTTGTGTGAGAAAGCAAGGAAATAAAGGGCTTTTCTTGAAAGGGGGAAACAAAGGGCATCCAGAAATGTCACCAAAATGCCCTGCGAACTCGCCAGCTTGTCCCAAGTTGTTCTTTGTCTGAAGGCCTTGAAAGTGTGATTTATGTAACTCTTCCTCGGGTCAATGATTGACTTGTTAAACCTGAGACTCCAAAGCTGGTACAAGGATTTCTTCCCATATGTCAAATACATGAAATAAAAAGTAAAAATAATCCCCATCAAGTGGCACAGACTTTGTACATTTCAAAACTGTCCACCGGTTTGACCTGCTATCCCCTCCTCCTCTTCCCTTTCCTCCCCGTTTTCTCTCACCCCAAAGCCCAGGTGGTCTGTTCTAGGGAAAGCCACCTTATTCTTGGCTTGGCCTGGGGCGCTAACTGTCCTCCTCATCGGCCTTCACTGGTGGGCGGCATGTCACAGGTCAGAAAGCGCCCCTCCGCTGTGGGCTGTGTGCGCATATACACGGCTCTCACTTTCTCTAGCCCAGTGACCCTGAAAAAGCTTATACTTTAGGTTTTCACACAAACTGAGGTTCAGGTCTGAGCTCTCACTTTTTGGCTGTGTGGCTCTGAACAAGTGATTTGTCTTTCCAAATGTTCAATTCCTCATTTGTAAATGGAGAAGCTAATATATCTACCTACC